ACATACATACACATATATGTGTGTGTATAATGGATTTTATTACAAGAATATGGTTTTCCACATTTGTGGAAACAGGTTAACACGCTCTATAACAGTACTGCCTTTTTGTATGATGCCCAAATTTTAAGAAGTCAGAAATAGAAGATCAATAAAGTGAGAGACTTCAAGAGCAGACTCAAACCTACTATCAAGACTGAAACCCAAACCCATTCCTGTTGCTCCTTGATTGGTGATGTGGTTGTCTTGCAGCAGCTAGGATCTTTCTTATGAAGCTAAACCCTCACCTGAATCAAAAGTCGAAGATGCTACAAGATTATGTATGAAAAGATGATGCAACCGTAGTTTCAGCTGCTGCTTTTGTCAGTGAGATAAGTCAATAAATCAGTGAGTGTATATGGAAACTCTAAGAAAGTTTATTTCTGCTCTCGTTATCTGTCAAGTCTCTCCTGTGACCCACTTTACAGAAAAGATACACCAAATAATAGAATTATGAGAAGTACAATTATTCCTAACAACGTTGATACAAAAGTCAACTTTGCATCTATAGTATGTTGTTGTTGTTGATTGCCTTTGAGTCCAGCACAACTCATAGTGAACCTATGAACAAAAGGCCTGAAGCCTTTCTCTGACTGTTGACATTTATCAAAGTTCATAGGGTTTCTGGAGGCATGTTGTTTAGGAGGTGCATGTCACTCCTGCTTCCAGCTGCACCCATGTATACATCCTACATTATCCTTAGTCTCCAAGTAAAGATATTTTAAAAATATTTTTCTTTTTGCCCAACATACAACCAAAAACATGTTCCCATAAAAGGATACATGTTTATTCTTCCCCTTAATTGGTTCATTCTCCTTTTATATGCTGAATGTAAGACAAAAATATTTTATTTATATAGAATATATTCACATAAAACAAAATGTACCCATTACTCTTATACACAAGATTGCTAATACTGTTCATGCATTAGGTTTTTTTTATATTCAGCAGCATTATATATTGTCAGTTCTTCCCTTTCTTAGTTATTCTTGTTGTTACCCAACTGCTTTCTGGACAAAGAAGCCAGGTAGCAGGGATGGAGGCTATGAGGACTCAGTGATGTGGACTCCTACTCACCAAGGAAACAGGATGAGTGTCCAATCTGCCACAGCACTGATTCTACAAATAACATCACAACACTATTCACCCATGTAGTTGTTATGTATCATCAATTCATAACTGACTCTTAGCAGATTTTAAGAGACAGAAAATCGCTTGGGAGTTGATTGCCCATCTTTTCCCCTGCAGAGCAGCTGATAGATTTGAACCATGTGCCTTTGACGTGGCAGTGCAGCTCCTTAGCACTAGGTTACCAGAGCTCCTTGATTCCCCTATGAGAATTAGCCAATTACTTACTGGCAGATTGATTACATTGTACCGCTTCAATCATAGAAAGAAGAGTCCTTTGAATTTTGTTTGTTTGCTTGAGTTAACAGAAATTTACTCACTTACAATTTAAGAACCTAGAAGTCCACTTTGAGACTACTGGCTATAGGAGAAGGCTTTCTCTCTGTCAATTTTGGAGAAAAGTCCTTGTTGCCTTTAGCATCTGTAGGTTTGACATTCTTGGAGAAGTTTATATATATTGACCTTCCCATATGTCAAAGCGCTTCACAGTACAGGGACTGGATTCCTTCCTAGTTATATTCCAATACTGATCTTCTTTTTTGGTGGTACTGCAGTTTCCTTTTTCTTCTTGCTTTTCTCCCCTTTTATTCTGTGGATGAAAGGTGTTACAGGCCGTAATCTAGGGTAACTCCTTTCACATCAGATTAAGACTCTAATGGAATTAAGAGTGTTGCATCCCACCTTTAATCCCCTAATCACTGCATAGTTTATCAGATTGTGGTCGTTCATTATATAGTAGTCACATTATATTATTGCATACATATAATTTGAAGAGAGACAAATCTATGGCATTTCATCCTTTGAACCCCCAAAATTAATATCCTTGTCACATACAAAACACTCTGTCATACCAATATGAAATCTTAAAGCAACTCCAAATCCAAATTACATTCTGAACCAATATTCCTCATTACCTGTGAATTTAAGCTATAATTGCTTTCAAAACAGTGGTAAAATAGGCACAAAATAAATATTTCCACTACAAATGGGAGAATTGGTAGGGGGAGAAAGGTAACAAGCACCAAGAAAATAGCCAAAAAAATTTACATTAGCCCTCAAGGCTTGAAGATAAAACTCTGTTCTAGGCTATAGTCTTGCCCTAAATATTATGGATGCTGGCTATGTCCCCTATGTCTCTGAGTGAAACCCCTCCGTCTGATTTCAGCTCCACCCTCCAGATCTACTGGGATAGAAAGTCTGCGCTTTCAGCTTTGAGTGGTCCCATTCTCCAGCAAAAGCTGGGAAGGGTGTGGAGAGATTACAGCTCTCATGCACTATTGGTAGGATTGTAAAATGGTCCAGCTAATGTAATAAATGGTATTGTGCTTTCTTACGAAGTTGTAACTAGAAATGCTAAATGACCTAGCATTTATACTACTGGGCACGTTATTGTTGTTATGTGCCATCGAGTTGATCACAACTCAGTGCAACACTATGCACAATAGCTCTGAACCTTTTCTATATCTTAGTTAATAAGAGTCATGAAGTGAAGAGATACATGTATACCTATGTTTGTTGCAGTATTAGCCACAATACCAAAAGAGATGGAAACAACCTAAGTATTTGTCAGTGAACAACTGGATAAACACACCATGGTGCATATAAAAAATGACATATTATACACCATGAAATAAGGAGAATGCATAAACACTTTATAACATGAATGAACCTGGATGACACTGTGCTAAATGAACTATGTCAATCACAAAAGAAAAACATTGAATGAAAACAGTATTATAAAATGTAGATAAATGTTTAAACACACACACACACACACACACACACACACACACACATATTCCCTGATATTTACCAGGAGTGGGTAAGGAGGGGAAGGCAAATAGCTACCTAGAAAGTAGATGAATGTTAACTTAGGTGAAGGAAAAGACAAGGCACATTAAGAGATAGGACAGTACAACATGAGCAACACCAAGGAAGGACACTAGGAGCTGAACAAAGGAATAGACAACAAGGACATAAACTGTTATATACGCTGTACTTCAATAGTAGTACTAACAAACAATATCTATGAGCAAATGCATACAGATATTTGATGGGAACAAAGGATATATAGAACGGATATTGAAAGAATGTAATTATAAACACCAGTGACGACTGCATGACCAGGTACTAAGGGGAAAAAAATGAGGGTATTTTTTTCTTTACTTTGAGTATTTTGTACCTGTGTTACCCAAACATTTTCATTTTCTTTTCATCTGACACCTTTTGTTGAAAATATGTGTATTAGAAATACTTGGCACCATATCTCAGCATTGAATAAGATAGAGGAATGAATGTGACCTGAATAAAAAAAAAAGGCACTTTGTGTTATGGGGATATGGTATGGTTTTTTTGTTTTGTTAGATTTTTTAAAATTATCTTTCTAAGGGAAAAATGAGCCTAGTTTTTGTTTTATTTCAGGGTTGTAACATTTTATGTAGAATAACTTTGATATTATCTTTATTTGGAAATTAAGTATGTTTTACTGAAATGTACAGGTGCCAAGATAACATGTAACAACAACACAGTACTGTTGTATATAAAAGCGAGCAGAAGGCATGTCTTAAGTAGACCTGGCAGTGTTAAAATTAGGGATAAAGATGAAAAAATGAGGTTGAAAACATTTAATCAGCCAAACTTTATTTTATTCTTACATAAAGATTAATTAGAGCTTTATATCCATGGTGGTGCATGACTCAGAGAGCCATCATATTGGTCCTTAATTGCCACACTAACTCTACTTTTGCTCCTAAATCTCTCTTCCTGAACATTCATGCATTCCAGATTATTTATTACTTTTGAAAGCAAGGGATGCAGAATTGAATGTAGTTCCAAAGCATAATTTGACCAGTATGAAGGAAATCAGACCTATTATTTCTCTTTTTCTCTTTCTACAAATACTATCTTGTGTCTTACTTACCTTTTTTTACTGTCACCTTATTCGTGGTGAATTCTAACTCAGCTTCTGTTAGACTAAGAGCCCGGCTTTCCCCATGCTCTCCCTGATCATCTGAATCCAGTCAAGATGCCAACACTCTGACATAAGTATTCGTATATTTCCTTCTTTCTGCTTTAGTGTCCTTTTTTTCTCTGTAAATTTCCATGATATAAGTGGTTTTTTTTTTTATCAACTGTTTCATGCTTCTCTTCCTCCTTCAGGAAACTTTGATAATAATTCTCCATCCTAGTTTGTGATGCATAGATGACCCTCTGTCTTCTTGGCTTTTTTCGTGATCTGACCCAAGTATCACCCCTGACTTAAGGAGTT